CGGCGTACCCCACGGGTCACCACAAAGGGACTTGCTCTACGGGCAGTCTCATGGGGTTGATGCTCGTACCGTGGAGGAACTGCAAGCTAAACTGGCAGAGATGACCCAGGAAGATGAAGGTGCGACTTTGCGAATCATGCAGCTTGAACGAGAACGAGACAATGCTTTGGCGCTTGTTCGACATGTACATGAGCGTCATCTATCCGAGATACAGCAACAGGAAGCACGGCAACAGCTACGTGAACGGCATCTACAAGTCAGTGAACAAGAGATTCGTGTGCAACAGGAACAAGCTCAGGAACTGAGGAATGAAGCTACGCAAGCAGTTCTTCAAATCGGTCAGCAATCCCAAGGGGAGATGTTCGACATGGCCAAGGAGTATCAGAAAATCACTCAGATGATGCACCACCAAGCAGCGGAGAATTCTGCTTTACGTTCAGACCTCAGATTTGCGGAGCAGCTCATGATGGATGCAAAAGAAGCAATGGAAAGATCAGAGGCACAGGAATCTTTTGCCGTCAACGAGAGTCAGCAATCTAAGCAAGCTTTGTTCATAGAGGAGCAGCGTGCTCAAGCTACTAATCAGGAATTTCAGAAGTTACGAGAGATTGCCTCTGAGGAAATCACTGCTGAAAGGCAGCGTTATGTTCAGCTTGAGGCTAGGCAACGACCTATTCTACCAAGTCTGCATGAAGAGATAGTGAGTCTGCGGACGGAGGTTAGTGTACAGAATAGTGAGTTGAGGGCTACTAAGGCTGAGTTGCATGTCGCTTCTGCACGTTCCTCTGAATGGGAACATGCAGGAAATTCGGTAGGATTTCCTAGCACCCACGTGAGTCATACTCCGGTAACAGTGATAAGTCCGGCCGGAAGCAATTCCAGGAATAGAAGCAACAATGGTACCCCGGACAAGGGCATCGAAAGCACAATTCCACCAGCACCCCAAGGCCCGCCTGTGATTTACGGTCCAGATCCACCTGTGACCTACGGTCCGGGCGACGTAAGAATGAACAGTCCCGGCATGTCGTCTTTCCGCGAGTTTGCTGATGGGCTATTCCGACCCAAAACAAAGGCTCCCATTAATGGGGGCACTCCTATGTACACGTTGGAGCAAGCTTTTCCGCCTACAGTATTCAAGAGCGACAGCAAACCGGTTACGACCCAACCTGATGTGAGGAACATGGAATTTAACCGTGTCGCCCCGGCCGCCAGGATTGTCCGTGAATGCCAATCAATCATCATCCAGTACGTCGCGTACTGCCCCCGAACCAAAGGCATCGACCCTTCAATACACGGGAATCTTGGATGAGTTGCGGAGGCAGTTGCAAGGTGATGCCAGCGGCGCACCTGCAACAACACAAACGTCCAATATTCCAACTGGGAACGGTAATATTGATGGTGAGTCGGCAAAAGGCGGACAATCGGACGGTGGAGGAGACAGCATGCATATTACAGCGGAGGAGCCCAACGACGCGAATAAGAGTGAAGAAATTCGCCAGTTCATTGCCGAGCTCTCTCGTGCTCGTAGAAGCGAAGAAAGAATGAGGAGGGAGCGAAACGATTGGAAGGGCTGGGCGGAGACTTTCGAAAGCGAATTGGAGGAAAGCCGAAAAGGAAAGGAAGAATCTCCTGATGATGGGAAGCGGGACGATGCCAACAAGGGTACAGGAGGACCGTCCTATGGCGGTGGGGATGGTGGATATAACGACGGTGGCGGTGGCGACGGCGGCGATCCCGGAGACGGCGACGATGTAACAAATCCAGGAGGCTGGAGACCCGGGGGTAATGACCCGAGGGGTGGAGATCCTCCAGGAGACGGAACCGACACGGTTGACGTCGCCAATGACAAGCCCAGAATATCCAGACGCGAAGCGGATAAAGTCACCGTACCACCATTCCCCAAAGTTCTCAATCTTGATGCCTGGAAAGCTGCCACCACAACCAATGTCCTGGCGGCATGTGCGGATCCTCATCAAGAAGATTGGGTTCGTTGGCTTCAAGAAGCGTACAAAGCATTCCCGGACATTGAGAAGTTAAATGACTCGGGTGGAGTGAGGTATAACAGCATTGACGTTAAACTTGCGAGCGCAATGATTTCGATGTTGAAAGGAGCAGGTGATGGCGCCAATGATTTATCGTTGGACGTCAACCTCAAGGCGAATGCGTATATCCGCGGGAATCAGTTTACGGTCATCAAGGGCAGGCAGATCATCGCAATGATGATGGAAAGCTTTAGAACCCGCGATCGCATCGACGTAGTCTACACCATTGATCATTTCACCAAGATCCAGTATCCTGGAGACAACAAGCTGGCCACGTTCAAAGCTACATGGCTGGAGGTGATTGGGCGCATGCGCCCCGAAGATGTCCCGTCAAAGAATGCATTGCGCGACCTGCTCTACCTAAAGATTAAGGGTTCCAACCTGATGAAGCTCGAGTTGCAACTATTGTATGAGATCCATGCGTATGATGATGCAGAGAGATCATACGAGAAATTGCTTCAGATCATGGACAGGGCTATTGCCAGACAGCGTGAGAGCAAGAACTTGCATGATACCAATACTGAACTACACCAATTGGTGCAAGGGAGAAATCTCTTGGCCGCCCCGGCTCCTGAACCCAAGGCTCATCCGCCTCAACCTCCGCCAGCTCCACCAAATGCTAAGTCTGAAGGCGGCGGCAAGGGGAAGGGTAAAGGGGAGACCAATGATGCAGCACCAGTGTATGCGCAAGCTGAAGCGAAGAGACGTGCCAAGGAGAAGGCCAAGGCGAAAGCTAAGGCAAAGGGCGGAGGTGGTGGAAGGCAACGCTCTTCCTCCAACAACCGGGATATCTCCAATGTCCGATGCAAATTCTTCTTCTCAAGCGGCGGCTGCACGGAAGGGGATCAATGCCGTTTCAGTCATAAGGAGAAAGAACCAAAGAAAGGCAAAGGAAAAGGGAAAGGGCGACCCCGATCCGGCTCCCCATCAGCAACGAGTCGCGAAGGGAGTCCTGGCGCAGATCCGTCGTCGAAGAATTGTTTTCAGTGGATGAGAGGAGGAAAGTGTAATCGTGAAGCATGTCCGTACAAGCATGACCCGGCCTATGCGACTCCAGCTAAGGATGGGAAGGCTAAAGCTAAAGCAGAAGCTAAAGAAAAGGCAAAGAGTGAAGCCAAGGCTAAAGCTACTCCAGCAGCCCCTGTGGTTGCCATCATCGATTCCGACGATGGAGGAACATCGAGGTGTTCCGACTGGGAGGAGGTCGATACGGACGCATCGACTGGCGATGACGCTGCAGTGTCGAAAGTCAAGAGCAATAGCAAGAAGGCGTCTTTCTCCAAGGGCACTATGTTCGTGTCTTCAAAGCCCCGACGCTCAGTCCTCAATCGAGGAGGAAAAGTTCGGAAGATAGATGTCGGCATGCTCTATGATTCTCAACATACGGAGCAAGTATACGACTGTCATAAGGCAAGAGCGAAGGCACAACTCACGCGAAACATGGTCCTTCAGAAGAGGAAGCCCAAATTGGAGACGTCTCAGGTCCGAGTACCAGGATCTGACATCATTATCACTGTGGTGTATAACCGCAAACAGGATGTGTTCTTTGAACTGACACCAGATCACGCCTATCTCAAAGGATTGCCCGAGGTTAGGGAAGTATGCATGGTTCAGCCGGAAGTCCTCAAAACGCAGATGAAGTTCATCATGGATACCGGATGCGGGCATGACCTCGTGTCTCAAGGGAAGGTCACGAGGAATGATCTCGAAACGTTTGTGGCAAACAAGACCATGCACTTCCAGACTGCCAACGGCACTACCGATTCTGACATTGTGGCTAGATTCTCAACGAATTGTTTTGATGAGCCAGTGGAAGCGCATATCCTGGAGTCGACACCGTCAGTACTATCTGTCGGAAAGAGATGCATGAATCAAGGCTATTCGTTCATTTGGCCCGAGGGTCGTGATCCGTACATGATCAACCAGGAGGGTCAAAGGATACAATTGTATGTCAAGGGCGACATCCCGTATGTCAAAGTAGGGCATGAGAACTCTCAACGACACGATGACGAAGAGTCCAGCGAGGTGTTCAAAGTACTGAACAGCTTCAAGCGACGTGACACCAAGGATTCAGAACGAGAACAACCGGATGATACTCCCCCTGTCACCGACGGTGCAGGCGAGGGTGCGACTCCTGGGCTTGATGTCGATGGCGAGGATGTCGACCCTGACCGAGATGATGAACCCGATGATGAAGGCGTCGGCGAGGATGAGAACGAAGGCGGTGAAGAAGAAGCTGTTGAGGACGATAAAATCGTGGACGAACATGCCGACCCTCCAGTTCCGGCAGTTGAACGTGATGAAGACGAAGTTGAAGTCGACGATGGGGAGGGCATACCACGCAAAGCAAAAGTGGGTACCCTCAAGGCAGAGGCTAACACCTTGAGCCACTTGTGCACCCATCGGTATAGAAATCCCTATTGTGAATCATGCGTCAGAGCAAAGATGCGCCACTTCAAGACACGGCGCGGAGCTTTCAAGCGAAAGATAGAACAGTGGGGCGATTTGATTACTTTCGACTTTGTCGACATGCGGGATGCCAAAGACAGAGGTGTAGGCATCGATGATGATACGCGCGAAAAATTCTTGTCATCAGGGACATTGCGACGAAGGTAGTGGCGGCGTATCCGACTGCATCAAGAAGTACTGATGATGTGGTAAAGTGTCTTCAACGGTTCAAAGGAAAGCGCAAGATCAAGATGGCTTATAGTGACGAGGCGGGAGAATTCAACGCGGCTGCCGATAGGTTGGGCATCATCCTGGACAACTCGCTTCCTGGACGACCGCGTAACAATTCGATTGCAGAAAGGACTCATCAGTTCGTTCTGGACACTACGTCTACGTGCCTTCTACAAGCTGGACTCCCTGCCAGCTACTGGCCCTATGCCATCAACTGCGTCACCCACAACTTGAACATTGAGGATGTTGAAGGAGAGTCGTCGTGGATGCGAATGTGTGGAGACAGGTTCGGGGGAAAGGCCATCCCGTTTGGTGCGAAGGTGTTCTTCAAACCCACCGAAACGAGGGAACCCACGTATGGAGGCAAGTTTGATCCGGGCATCTTTGCTGGATACGTCATAGGATCCGGACATACGTGGTCACGCAAGTACCGAGTGTGGGATTTGGCAGATTTCGGTTCGGCCAACTTGGGCATGAACGCCAAGGTACCAGGTTTCCTCAGAAAACCGTACATCACCGAGGTTGTCGTTCTTCCTGAAATCATTGAGTTCCCGCTGAAGAAAGAGTATGAACGAATGAACTCTTCCTTGGAGGGCATCAAGGAAGTCTATGAATTGGAGGGAAAGGGATCGAAGGGTCCTAAGATGATTCCCGAAGAGGAGCGAGACATTCTCGATGGTATGACTGATGACGAAGGCGGAGACGGCCCTGGTGGCGATGGACCATCTGGCGATGGTGCTAAGGTGAAGAAGATCGTTGAAGCGCCCCCTCGTCCTGATGCACCGACAGAACTGCCTGACGATCCAGGTGGAGGATCCACAGAAGAAAAAGAAAAGAAAAGTAAAAGTACTGGATCGGACGGTGACGGGTACCACATTGACGAAGCCGTGCGTGAGTTATCCGAAGACCACTTGTATAGAAGCAAGCCATCGTCGACGGATGACAAACCACCCGGACCATCAGGGCGTACCAGGCCGAGGGCATCTGAGGAGGCCCCGGATTCGGTCATGGAGGAACTACGCCGACTGGGTATCATAAAGGGAGAAGTGCTTCATGGTCATGTGGAACCGCTTCCGACGGAAAGGTCTACATGAACGACGATGGCGAACCTTGTAAAATTGACAAGCGAGGCGCAGCCTACCGCATTGGTCCAGATGGGAGGAGAAGCATTCCTACACTACGACCGAAAGACAAATTTACGCCTGAGGAATGGAAGGCACTTGGCAGTAAAGGACGCAAAATCGAACTTGACATCATCAAGGATGAAGAAAGGAAGAGAAAAGTCAAGGAATCATCCATGGTGCATGATGGTGAAAAGCCTGATTCCAAAGCCAAGAAGAAGGAAAAGAAGGAGGCCAGAAAAGCTGAGAAGAAGATCAAGAAAGCGTTGCGGAAGATAAGGAAATCCGAAGGTGAACATGATCCATCTCTCCCAGTTATCGTCCCTGCCGACGCCCGGATACCGACACACACCAACGGTAGTGCCGAAGGTTGGGAATGGGCGGAAGACTATTGCGACATGGTGTATTCTCAAGCCTTCTATGAGGATTGCTTCGCCATGGCCGCGGATACCGACCTGGAAGGCATCGAACATAAGTTACCACGCATGCCGTGTCTATCTTCGGGAGACGCTGGACACCGGGAGAAGGTTCAACGAAGTGCTTATCATTTCTTCAACGCTATGGTCACCAGGCCTGTCAACCGCAAAGAGCTGTTGAGCAATCCTAAGGCTATGGAAGCGTTCTTCAAGGAGTGGAAAGGATTGTGGGATCAAGGAGTCTTTGATTTCTCGGTGGTGCGAGAATACGACGATGTCATCGCAGCAGCTAAAGCCAAGAAACAACAGGTCCACATGGCGCGGGTGCACGGATTGATCTATGAGAAGAACTTTCATTGAAGGAAGGTGATCCGGCACGGAAATTCAAGGGCCGCGGAGTGCTTCTAGGTGATCAGGTCAAGGACCAGAATATGGAAGCAGCCCTTTTTCAAGATTTGGGCAACTCCCCAG